GGGACCCCATGTCAGCAGAAGCGGTTCTGGCCAGGGAGGGCTGTGCTGGGCCCCAGACTGTGGGCTGGGCAGGAGAGACTGGCCAGCAGGGGCCTCTGTGCCCCATGGTGAACCCCTCTCTAGACAGATGTGCAGGCCTCGCCCTGGCGGGGGCCACCGGCCCTGCCCCGGGTGACTCCCGACATCCCCTGGAACCCTGGGTGCCCACACTGCAGCTGTCCCGGGGCAGCCCAGCCCTGTACCCCACACTGCTCCTGCTCTTTGACCTCTGTCACAGGGGGACAGGACACGGGTCCAGTCCTGGCCCTGCCCCTGTCTCCTGCCTGCTGGGCCTCAGTTTCCAGTGTGCCATGAGACTAGTGATTCTGTAGTCCAGGTTTTCCTTCAGCTGTGATGTCCTGGGGGTCCATCCATCCCATACCAACCTGTCCACCCCATGTCTCCCGAGTGCCACCCACCCTTGACTCTTGGGTCACCCTGTTCCACTCTGTCACCCGAAACACACCCCATTCCTGCAGCTCTGGGCTCCTGAACCCAGGCTTGAGCTCCTGCCCCTGCTGTGGCAAAGGCTGCCCCGTGCCAGCCTGCGCCCACCTGGGGAACAGGTCCCGCATGCCACACCGTCCCTCCTGCCGCATGGGACCCCCACTAGCGAGCCCGCCCCGCCCGCCTCCCTCCCTGTCCTGCATGGTGACAGTGGTGGTGTTGGTGTTTCTACTGTGGTCCTGTGCCTGTCTCGCAGACGGTCTCTGTGGATTTGCCTTAAATGGAAGTAAACTTGGTTCTTTTCCTACATCTCCTGGGTTTTCTTCTGTGAACAGTAGCAGGGGAACAGCTGGGGCACAGGTCCTCTCTCTCTGGGTTCTCCATCATTCTACCCAGCCTGGGTTTTCTCAGCAAGAACCCCGTGCCAGACTCTGTGCTAGGTACAGAGCAAGGGGCTGCAGCAGCAGACTAAACACTCTGGGTCTCAAATGGAGCTTCCAGAAAACACAAGTAAGACAGGGAGAGACACGGGAAGCTCCCACTCAGGAAGGCTGAATCGTGTGGCTGTAGCTGGAGACACGAGACAGGGAAGGAGCGGCGTTCTGGAGGAGGTGAGCCTTGAGGAAATGAGACAGGAGCTGAGGCCTGGGAGAAGAGGGCTCGAAGTCAACGGAATGGCAAGTGCAAAGGCCCTAGGCGCAGAGTCCTAAAGGACCATGAGGAGGCCATGTGCTGGGAGCTGAGCTGGGGTAGAGGAGAGGAGGCTGGTGTGCATGGGCCCTGAGGTCCCTGGGGAATCTCTAGTGCTTATGCTGGGGACACGGGGAGCTGCTGGGGAGGTGGGAAGTGAAACCTGAAGACATTCTCCACAGTGTCTGTATTGCGTTTGATCATGCAGCATCTCTCCATGAGTACGTAGCGAACATCAGTGCTCTGGCTCTCAGTGGTACCTGCAGGACCCAGGGCTGTGGGCCAGGGAGAAAGGACTCAGTCACCATCAGGTTCAGGAGGGGCAGGGTCTGTGCGTACCAAAGGGTGCTTCTAACCTGATGTAGCTGGATGATTCAGGGCCACTTGCCCCAGACATCTTACACCGCCCCACCCCCCTTCTGTGCCTCCAGACACCAATGCCCTTCCCGCAGGACTTTGCACGGAGATCAAAAGTCCCGGACCTGCCAGGAACTTTTTCTTTCTTTCATTTTTCTCCTCCTCCTCCTTCTTTGCTAATCCTGGGGCTCGAACTCAGGGCCTGGGCACTGTCCCTAAGCCTCTCTGTGCTCAAGGCTAGCACTCCACCACTTGAGCCACAGCGCCACTTGAGGCTTTTCTGTTTATGTGGTACTGAGGAATCAAACCCAGGGCTTCATGCATGCTAGGCAAGCACTAGCATTCTACCACTTTGAGCCAAAGCACCACTTCTGGTTTTTGGGGTTTTTTTGTTTTGTCAGTCATGGGGCTTGAACTCGGCCTGTGCACTGTCCCTCAGCTCTTCAGTTCAAGGCTAGCACTTTACAGCGCCACTTCCAGACTTCTAGTGGGTTATCGGAGATAAGAGTCTCATGAACTTTCCTGCCAGGCTGGATTTGACGCCAATCCTCAGATGTCAGCCTCCTGAGTAGCTAGACCAGCGCCCAGGCACTTCTGGTTTTATGGTGGTTCATTGAAGATAAGTGTCACAGACTTTCCTGCCCAGGCTGGCTTTGAACCATAATCCTCAGATCTCAGCCTCCTGAGTAGCTAGGATTACAAGCATTAGCCACCAGCAACCATCCATTTTTCCTTTCCTTTCCTCCTTTCCTTTCCTTCCTTCCTTTCTTCCTTCCTTTCTTTCTTTCTTTCTTTCTTTCTTTCTTTCTTTCTTTCTTTCTTTCTTTTCTTTCTTTCTCTCTCTCTCTCTTTTTTGTGCCAGTACTGGGGCTAGGGTTCTGTCCCTGAATTTTTTTGCTTAAGGTTGATGTTCTGTCCTTTGAGCCACAGCCCCACTTCTGTCTTTTTGATGATTAATGAAGATAATAGTTTCATAGACTTTCCTGTATGGGCTGGCTTTGAACTGCAATCCTCAGATCTAGCCTCCTGAGTAGCTAGGATTACAGGCGTGAGCCACCAGCACCCGGCTCTGCAGTGCATGGTGGACACCATTGTTCCCAGTGACAGGTCAGGACCTGCAGGCACTGGAGTCACAGGGAAAGGAGATTTCTCTCTCCTCCAGCAAGTTGACCCTGCAGTCTGCCCTGCTCTCCTCCAGCAGGCAGCCGGAGGAGCTGGAGGAGCCGCCCCTGTGATAATTACTCCAGAGCTGAGGACTTGTTTACTTCTTTGGAGTGGAGTACAGCTGATTCACAGATGTCCCTATAATTAGATGCCCCTGGGACTCCATTACTCTTTGAGTGAGAACAGGGTGGGGTCACAGCTTGGGAGAAGGGAAGTTCCCATAACCAGTGGCTCATTTTCCATCACCTTGGGCGCCGTGGGAAAGTGTCTGGGGTGATGTTTGCCTAGTAGGTGAATCGAGGCTCAGAGAACCTGTCCCAGAGACCAGACAACAGCAGCGTCTTTCTTGTGTACCACAGTCTCTGCTTTCCTGGGTTCCTTGCCAGGGCGTGGCCCCCAGAACGCTGGTTCCCTGGCAGTTAATTTAAGAAACTGCTTGTTTTGACTCCTTCGTGGAGAGCCTCAGTGGCTTTCAGGGTGTTCAAGGTTCTGACAAGTCCTGTGAGCCATTGTTTTGAGTCAGTTTCAACCCAAAAGCTTGTTTCTCCTAAGTTTTTGATCTCATATATGCATTTGCAAAGCACGGATTTAAGCAGCGATGATAACCCTGGTTCTGGGTCCATATAAGTGCCCGAGGCCCACTGTAAGGAGACCAGAGGGAGAGGGATGGAGGGAAGAGCCACTTAGATGGGGCAGGAGAGATGGAGACCCTGAATTGGGGTCTGAAGAGAAGAGTCCTTCCTAGCCATCTTGGGGAGAAAGCCACACAGCATCCAGAAATTCACAAGCCCAGACTCCTGGCAAAGATGGATTTTATTTCCATCTCCTTAATGGACTAAAGGCACGAGGGACAGAGCTGGCAGGGTGGGTTAATGGCAGAAGGGTCCTCCTGGACCCCGGGCCCCAGCTGGCTGCAGCTGCTCTCCCCCTCCCCCACGGAATCCCTGATCTCTAGGACTGGAGACGCCAGGCTGTCAGCCCCCAGATCATCCCGTGCTCACTCCCGTCCTACACAGGAACAAAGACAAAAAGCAAGAGCGCTATCACCCCTCCCAATGCTCCCACCCTAGCCCACCAAAGCCCAGGCTCTCTGCCCAGCACTTTTCCTGTGCCTGAAGATTCGTCTTTGTCACTTCCCGTGGAGAAAGGACTATTACCCTACTTCTCAGATGAGAACAGAGAGGCAGGGCCCACCCAGAGTTTTACTTCAGATCCTACAAACCAGCAGCCGGAAGGCCCAACAGAGAGCAGATCTGAGTGGCTGAGCCAGGTAGTGAACAGCCCTGATTGGCTGGGCCACCTGCCTGTGGGGGGTAAGGGCGGGGCTAGTTTATTCCCCTCCCCTTAGGTAAAAGAGATTCAAGTCCCTGAGGTTCTGTCCTCCACCCTTTTCACCTCAGCCCTCCCCAGGCCTCCAGCCAGAGTCTGTCCATCACTGTGACACGCCCCTCCTCCGGGCTGCCCGGCTGTCCAGGGCAGGCAGAAAAGGGCCCTGAGCCCTGCCAGGGAGGGAGGAGAGGCAGAAGCAGAGGACAGGGCTGAGGGCACAGTTGAAGTAAGCCAGTATGGTACGCAGGCGACTGCCCACCCGGCCTCATCTCCCAGCTCAGAGCAGGGCCCCAGCAGCACAAAGCTCACCAGCACCACTGGGATGAGGGCTGTGTTCTCCCAGTGCTCCCGCACGCCGGAGCCGGAGCTTGTCCACAGGAGCTTGTCCACAGGAGCCAGCTCATGTGGCTGAAGGAGCCCGCGAGGCCTGGAACTCAGGGCAGGGAGGTCTGGACCCAGAGATAGGAACTAGCCAGAGACATGAGCTGGCCAGGACTCAGGGAGTCCGGCTGCCTCCTCTGCCATCCCCCGCTGGAACAGCCAATCAGGCAGAGACCACGGTGAGGCCCAAGATCCATATGGCCACAGAGGCCTGTCCAGCCCAGACCCCAGGAAGTAACACAACACTTACTTTGTAACTGACAAGCTATGTGAATTAAGCCTGATACCAGCGGCTCACACCTGTCATCCCAGCTACTCAGGAGGCTGAGATCTGAGGATCGAGAGGTTCAAAGCCATCTTGGGCAGTGAACCACCAGAAAACTGGAAGTGGCACTGTGGCTCAAAGTGATAGAGTGCTAGCCTTGAACAACAACAACAAAAAGCTCAGGGACAGTGCTCAGGCCCTGAGTTCAAGCCCCACCACCGACCAAGAAAAGGGGGTGTGGGTGGGTTAAGAGTCTGGCATCAGAGTAAAGTTTATTCCTTTCCTCAAGACCTAGTCTCCTGATTGTGTAAGAAATACACAGTGTGGAAAAGCAGAACATTTTTTTAATAAGCACAAAGGAAGAGATCACCCACCTTCACCCGATAATTGTACGTGCGGCAGTCATTTGGTTTATTTCCCTTCTGTTGTTTTTCTAGGCTTTTCCTTTCCTGGAGAATTTACCACCCACACCTCCCCAAGCCCATCCTCACTCCCAGCCTTATTTGCTCAGTGAAGTCCTCCCTGGCTGGCACAAGGCCGCAGCCACGCACCCCTGCCCGAGATCTCGGCCGGGATTCCGGGGGCCTGTCCTGCCTGCCCTCACTGGACTCAGAAGGGCGGCAGAGCTGAGATCAGGGAGCCCCAAGGCGTGATGGGGGGGTCAGAAGCAGCAGCGGCCTTTCTTGGGGGGCCCCCCGGGGGCCACCTTCACCAGCGAGCCCCTCAGCCGGTCCTCCTGCACCTTCAGCAACCTGCACGACAATGCGCACGGGCTCCAGCCAGAAGGACCCTGGGAGTAGCGTGGGGGGCGGGGCGAGCAGGCTGTACCCCACGCGCCCTCTCTCTCCAGCTCCTCCCATGACACTGGGAAAATGGAGTCAGGGAAAGCGTGACTTCTGTTTCTCTTCTGGGTGCCAGGCAGCTGGTGTTCCTGCCTTGGGCAGTGAGGGACAGATGGGAGACGGGCGGTGTGGGGCTGGGGGTGCGGGAGCGTGGCCTGGCAGAGGGAGTCCCAGCTGCGGGGGGGATGGGGGGTGGGGGGGAGCACTCACCGGGCCAGGCTCACCATGGGTTCCAGGATGTTGTGTCCCAGTGCAGCGCTGCACTCCCCGAAGGAGACCCCCAGCTCCTGCGGGCCAGATGGAGAGGCTGAGGGGCCAGGTGGCCTCCAAATCCTGGCCTCCGCCCAGTGCCTCCACAGGGGAGGGGCTGGCTGTGGGGTGAAGGGCTCCACCCTCCAGATACCCCACTTCTGAGTGGTAGCAAAAGCCTGCGCCCCAACTTGGAGAAATGAGAAAGGCGCTTGGAAGGTCTGTTGGTGGTACTGGGGTTTGAACTCATGCTTGCTCAGCTTTCTGGCTGGGCTGAAGCGCCACAATGTGAAGCACGCTTTCAGCTCTGCTTCTTTTTGCCTGTGTGTATGAACTTGAACTGGGCTTGAGCTCAGGGCCTGAGCACTGTCCCTTGGCTTTTTTTTTTTTTTTTTTTTTTTTGCTCAAGGCTGGTGCTTTACCACTTGAGCCACAGTAGCTCTCCTTTTGGCTTTTTGCTGGTTAATTGGAGATAAGTCTCATGGACTT